GATGATGGGCTCAAGTATAGCGGGGATTGTGGGGCTGGCGCGGGATTGGGCAGTGTTTCGTTCTGCTGTGCATGGGGTCGCTATGAGTCGGAAATGACTCAACGGCACTTAACAACAACAACAACAATGTTCTCCAAGTTCATCCACGTTATGCAGTGTCTTGCAGATTCTACGTTATTCTTTAGGGTTGCCCAGTATTCCACTGTGTGTATGTGCCATAGTTTGGTTATCCATTCCTCAGTTGATGAACACCTTGGTTGTTTCCATCTTTTGGCTATTGTAAATAGTGCTGCAATGAACAAGGGTGCGCATATGTCTGTTCTTGTCATGGCTCTCACTTCTTTAGGATATATACCTAGTAACTGAATGGCTGGATCAAATAGTATTTCTAATTCCAACTTTTTAAGGAATTACCATACTGCTTTCCACAGTGGTTGTACTATTTGACAGTCCCACCAGCAGTGTATGAGAGTCCCAATCTCTCCACATCCTCGCCAGCATGTTATTTTCTGTCTTGTTGAACTTTGCTACTAGTGCTGGGGCAAGATGGTGTCTCATTGTTGTTTTGATTTGCATCTCTCTAATGGCTGATGATTGTGAGCATTTCTTCATATGTTTGCTGGCTGCCTGAATATCCTCTTTGATGAAGTGTCTATTCATTTCTTCTGCCCATTTTGTAATGGATTATTCGTCTTTCTGTTGTTGAGGTGCTGCTGGAGTTTTCTATAAATTTTAGAGATAAGTCATGGCAATGGTTTTTTTTAACAACTATTCTTCAGTCAGGTCATATGTGGTAACTATTATGTCTCTAAAGAGATCATAAGTATGCTGAGGGCAGGAATCACTGACACTTCTCTCCCTCCCAGAGCAGTTCCTGGCTCTCTGTTCACCATAGAGACTAAGGGAAGGCTTGACTGCAAGGTGATGAAGCCATCTTGCTTCTAAGGAACTCATTTTCTTTAGGAGGAAGAGCCTGTTCTCTCAATGACGAGAGCTGGGGTTAAGCAAATCAACCCATGCACCCAGCAAGGCAAGTGTGTGTCCCTGTCTGCATCTCAGGGTGGAAATGTCATAAACATCCCATATAAATTGTGTACAGTTCCCTTACTAGGGCCAGGTGTTGGGGTCTTTGTGTAATTCTGCTCTCCCTTAGGCTATCTTAGGATTGTTGATGTACAAGTCAGATGTTCAAATCAAAGACAAATATTCTAAATATAAAGCCCACCCAGCAAGGGTCTTTCAGAGGCTCACAGCTATACAGGAACACCAACTTGTGGCATTTGATTGGATGAGGAGTAGCTGTCTTCTTTTTATGTAATTAAATAAAGGCAAGTTTGAGTTAATTCAAACCTATGTTTTAGAAAGAACCTTTTAAATGTAAAACTGATCCAGGAACTTCCACTCTGACAAGGACAGAGAGGGTTGAGGTGTATGCAAAGCAGTGTGCTTGGATAAGTATTGTGGCCTTCTTACAGTGGTGTGTTTGGACTGACAGCAAGCCTAAATAGAACCCAAAATCCATTTAAGCTGCATTTGAGATCTGTGCATTTAAAAACTAACCAATAATTGGCTACTCTGTACATTTATGAAAGAGCTCTGGTAGCACAGTGGTTAAAGCATTAGTTGCTAACCAAAAAACTGGCAGTTCGAACCCACCAGCCATTCTGTAGAAGAAAGATGAGGCAATCTGTTTCCAAAAAGATTTGTTGTTGTTAAGTGCTGTCAAATCAGACCAGACTTATAGCGACCCCCTCCTGGGGTTTCCAAGGCAGTATCACTACGGAAGTAGATTGCCCAACCTTCCTTCTGAGGAGTGGCTGGTGGGTTTGAACCGCCAGCCTTCTTGTTAGCAGCCAAGTGCCTTAGGCACTACGCTACCAGAGTTCCTTGGAAAAGATTTACAGCCTTGGAAGCCTTGGAAATCCTATGTGGCAATTCTACTTTGTCCTATTTAAAAATAAAACACTCACTGCCATCAAGTCCATTCCAACTCATAGCGACCCCAACTAGGTTTCCAAGGTGGTAAATCTTTACAAAAGTAGATTGCCCCATCTTCCTTCTGCAGAGTGACGAGGGAGTTTGAATCGCCAGCCTTCTGGTTATCAGCCCAAGGCTTTAGGCACTGTGCCACTAGAGCTGCACTCCGTCCTAAAGGGTTGCTATGAGTCAGAATTAATTTGACGGTAGTGGGTTTTTTTGGTGGGCACATTTATGCTTTATGTACTTCTATGTGTATATTTTATAATTAAAACCTAAAAAAAAAAAGAACCAAGAGGACCAGCCATGTTGGGGCCGAAAAGCAGAGACTGAACCCTGATTCTAATTTACGTTAGGCCAGTCACTAGTCATGTGACCAATCACTCCAACTTTCTAGCCTCAATTTGCTCATCTCTTCAATGGGGATAATGATACACAGGATTATTGTGAGGATTTCATGACATACATATAATACAGTGCCTGCAGGGTAGTAAACAGTGTCACTACCTCATCATCACTATCAGGTTTGTCTCCAGCATCCATGCAGGCCCACCCCTCTCCTGTGGGCACCCAGGGGAAGGAACCCACCCTCATTACCCATCTCCCTTGGTGAGGTCAGCTCCTGCATCATATGCCCCACAGAACTTGTTAGTGACATGGTAGAATAAGACTCTGGTGAAAGCCTAGCCCTGGGACCAAATCAAAATGGAACCACCTCAGAATTTTACTCACCATCAGTTTGGCCATGACACAAATATTGTCCGTGTTGCACTCACCTATCCTTTCTCCGTTCCCCGAGGGATGCAGGGTTGACAGCAATTCTAGGCAATGTGGAGGCTGAAGTCTGGGACTGGCTACAAGAAGACAAGGTGTCGATGCTCAGGGGCGACTGAGGAGGAGTGCTGCATTCCGAATGTGACAAGGAGCCTGCTGAGACAGGAGCAGGTCACATGGGCCTCAATCTCTCACCTGTGCTCTCCAGCAGCCAAGACCCAGGACACACACACCGCCCCCCACACGACTCCACGTGTGGACCATACCACGTGGTCCTAAATTGTGATGCTTGGCTCCATATTGCTTTCTCTTTTATTAAAAAATAGATTTTATTTTTTAAGTTCATAGAAAACTTGTGCAGAAAGTATAGAGTGTTCCCATATACCCCTTCTCCCCTCCACAGTTTCTCTTATTCATATCTTGCATTTATATAGTATATTTATTACCATTAAAAGGAACTCTGCTAGCATAGTGCCTACAGCACCTGACTGCTAACCAGAAGGTTGGCAGTTCAAACCCACCAGCCACTCAATGGAAGGAAGATAAGGCAATCTAATTCTGTACAGATACACTGCCTTAGAAACCCAAAGGAGGTCACTATGAGTCAATGGCAGTAGGTTTTATTTATTACAACCAATGAGTAAATATTGATATGTTATTATTAACTAAAGCCCATATTTTAATCACAGTTCACTCTTATGTTGTACAATCCTATGGTTTTTGATAAACAGGTATCCCCCACTTCTTGAAAGTACACCACTTCAATTTTACAAAAGACATTAGTACCCATTTTCACTAATCAAAGGGCATCTGAAGAGGATTTTTGCTTTTACAAAGCAGTGAAAGGGAAACCAGCATTTAGCATTTGTTTCGCAGCAAGCCCATAAAGAGGCAGCACGCATCGGGAGCAGCGAGAGCGGTCTCAATGAGCTCCTTCGCCAGAAACCACACTCAGCATCAAGCTGCCATAGCTTAGAACCGTGTCTGTGAACACTCTACGTCAGTGTTACTTTAGGTTTTATGTGTTACTTGGTAGGTTATTTTATGGGTCTGGAAACACGCAAAAAATTTTTCAATATAAATTAATTGTTAGCGTGTCTTCGTTTTATACCATTTCAGCTTAAGGGTGGTTTCACAGGAATGCTCTACTTTCAGACAGTGGAGGAAACCTGTATTGCTTTTTCATCTCCACATCACTGCACCTGGGGGCTGGGCTCACTGAGCACTCACTGAATGACTGAAGCAATCAGGAAGTTACCAGCTGAGCCCAGAGACTCAACATGCAGTTAAAGTGGAACAGCAGGACAGCAGGGAGGGAGGAAGTGCTGGGAAGTTCTTACCTCTATCAGAGCCCACCACAGACCGTGGGTATCTTTGCGTCAATGGGATTTTAATACGTTCTGCTTTAAACTGCAAGTTATTTGAAGACCCTATTGTTCCATAAAGAGACAAGATTTTAGGCCTCGTGATTAAACATCATCCCTCACTCCCTCTCCACCACTCCGGTCGTCTGGAAAGAGACATCCCTATGGCAGAAACTCAAAGGGGTCCTAGATGTGGAGCAATCAAGAAAAGTAGATGTTTAACCTTTGAATCTGGATAAACTACGCACATGTAGACTGCTCCGGAATAGGAACACAGGTCTTGCTTTCACCCTGGCACAGGGACAGTAACCCAAATGAAGGACCAGTCCCACCAGAGTCTCTCTCTGAGGTGACTATGAGACTTTACTCTGGGCTACATATTCCAGAAGTGAACAGCAAAATAAAATCCCTAGAACAAGCAATATGCTCGGGGATAGGGAGCAAGGTTCCCAGGCCAGTAGGACACTTGGAAACACCCAACGGCCACTGAGGAAAGCTGAAGAGACGTGGAAGAAAGTGATACGAAGTGGTCAGGATGCATTATAGGTGAGTCTACCCTGTGAGGAGGTGAGCCCTCCACGGGAATGAGCCAGTCTCGGCCTCCATGACGGGAAGGGGAGCTCAACAGGCAGGCCATCAGGAGATGTGTGTGTGAGGATACAGGGCAGAGGTGAGAAAAGGCTGGGGCAGCTAGCAGGCAGGTCCCCAGCACCCTTACCGAGGCGGGCGCTGGAGGGCAGGGAGTTGGACCCGTGAGAGGCTCTCATCTCCGAGTAGTCACTGCAGGGCCTCTGGCTCAGGTCCAGGCTCAGGCGTACTTGGTGCTGGACACTGGGGCAGAACCAGAAAGGTTGACAGGGCTTGGAAGGATGACCAGGACTGAACATGGACCCTGTGCTGCGCTGGGATCAACGTCTCCCAGAGCCAGTGGGAGGGCGGCCCTAAAGCCCTGAGTTTGTGCCACTTGTGGGCAATCCCCTCCCTCAACAATGCATTCACTGCCCACCAGGGACAGGAACTCTGCCCACAGTCACTTCTTGGTGGTGGTATCCAATGAAGGCCCATTGCAAAGTCTATGGGCCACACAGATGGTGGAGCCAGTGTCAAATCCACTTCAGTAAGGGGGCTGCGATTTGGTTCACTATGAGGAAGGCACAGTCACAGGGAAAAATGAGGGCTCTAAAGCCAGAAGCTCTGGTGGCGGAGTACCTAAGACATTTGACCACTAACCAGAAGGCTGGTGGTTCAAACCCACCAGCCATTCCTCAGAAAGAAGACTGGGCAATCTACTTCCTTAAAGATACTGCTTTGGAAACCCAAGAAGGGGTTGCTATGAGTTGGGACGGACTCGATGGCAGTGAGTTTGTTTTTTTGGTAAAGCCCAGTGGGCCAGAGAAGTAGTACCTCTCCTCTAAGGATGTGGCAAGGACAGGCTGGATGGGCACCAAGGACCAAGGAGTGGGGGCCCTGTGACCTTCACTCAGGGAAGCACGGCTAAGGGCCAAGGGCCCAGAGGGCAGAAAGCATAGGGTAGGGATCAACAGAGTTGGTTGACCAGTGGCTAAATTCTAGCAATGACTTTTCAGACTGTGTAATGAAATGACACGCATAGTGGCTAAGGCACTTGACTGCTAACCAGAAGGCTGATGGTTCAAACCCACCAGCCACTCCTCGGAAGGAAGATGGGGCAATCTACTTCCGTAGTGATACTGCCTCGGAAACCCAAGGAGGGGTCGCTGTGAGTCGGGTCCGACTCGATGGCACATAATAACAACAACAACAATGAAATGACATCTCTCCCTTGCTTAAAACTCTCCAGAGGTCTCCAATGTATCAGGATAATATCCAACACCTTATGACAGCTTGCAGGGCCTACAGGACCTGTCTCCTATGACTTGTGATGTTGAGTCACCATCCCCTTGCTATGATCCTGTTACTCCGCCCCTCAGCTTAGGCACCTATGGCCTCCTTCCTGCAAGGTCTGCCCAGGTCTTTGTGTGGGGCCTCACCCATCCTTCTGGTCCTAACAGGAACCTCTCCACCCCCATGCTCTCCCTGACCACCCACTCTAATGTGTCACCCTCTTCCAAGTCATAACCAGCTAGTCACCCTGTTTCACTGTCTTATGAGCCACTAAGCATCCACTAGTATTACTCTATTCCCGTTTTCTGTCTGCCTCCCCACACTTAAACACAAAGTACCACATGAGCAGGAAGCTTGTGTGTTTGGCTCACCACTGTATGCTCCTGAAACTAGAACAGTCCATGGCATGTAATAGGTGCTCAGCAAGCATTTGTCAAATAACTAATGAGTGAATGAAAGCGTGACCTTGACCCAGTGCCCCCTTCACTTCTACAGGGCTCAGTTTCCTCATCTATAAAACACAGACAATGCAACTACTTAGCTCATAAGCTGGCTGTGACAATGAAATCAGATGGCACTTATAAAACGTCATGTCCCAGCACGTGAGCACTCAATTATCAGTAGCCTCACTATCAGCTTTTCAAACCCCATGGTGGTGAATTCAGACAGCATCTTTAAAGCTCACTTTCCCTGCAGTCCTAGCACTGCTCCAACCAGCCCCTTCCCAGCTAGACAAGGAATCTTCTCTGCTCACGAGCCACTTAATGCATAAAACTGCAAGGGCTTGAGTGGTCAGGGTACCATGGAGGTGTGGTGTTACTTCACCTACCTGGGATGCAAACCCTGGATGCCACCCTCTCTGGAGGTGGGCGGGGAGCTACAGAGGCCAACCCTGTGGCTCCGCACGGTGTAGATGGGATTCCTCAGGATGGAGCTCACTGTGGTGCTCGGCGTCACACTCCGGGGAACGGTGCCTGGAAATGGACTAAGTGAGAACACACCTCAAAGTGCCCGCCCAGCCCGGACCTGCAGACCCTCTCCTTTGTATCTGCAGAAAAAGCTGCAGAGTCTTTAGGGAAAGGGTGTCAGGTGATGAGCATTCTAGCCCCTCATTTCCTCTCTGGCTTTGGCCTCCTCTTCATTCTCCATTTTCAGCCCTCTTTAATGCTTCCTACTTCCCAGGGCTGCTGTGAAAAGTTAAGAAACATCTTAGGGCCGGTAGATGATGTTTCTACATATGTATTTGTATGGGCTGTAAGAATGCCCATATAACTAGACCTAACAGGAGGCAAAGTTATGATAACTCCTTGGGCACAGTCAGCTACCCTAATGGAGTGAATTGTTGGGTTCAGGATCATGGTTACAGGGGACATCAAGCTCAACTGGCATAACACACTACACAAAAACATTGTTCCATGTCATGCTGTGGTGAGTAGCGACTGGGGTCTTAAAAGCTTACAAGTGGCCATCTAGACGCAACAATAGGTCTCTCCTTGTCGAGAGTAAAGAAAAAATGAAGAAAACCAAAGACACGTGGAAACAATTAGTCCAAGGGACTTGTAGACCATGCAATCTTTAGCCTATATGACCATGAGACCAGAAGAACCAGATGGTGCCAGCTACCACTGTCAACCACTCGGAGAGGGATCTATGTAGGAGATCTTGGATAGAGTGGGAGAACAATGTGGGACAAAACTCAAAATCATAAAAAAAAAAAAAAGAAAAAGAAAAAGAACCCCAGGTTTGCTGGTCTATAGAGCCTGGTGAGAACTGAGACTATGGCCCCTAGTTACCCTTCAGGTCTGGACTTGAACTCATTCCCATGGCTTTCAGCCAAACAACAGACAGGCATATGGGGTGAACATTTATATCAGGTAGCTACATTCCTTAGAACGATCAATCATGGGAGAACAGAAAGGCAGTATTTGCATGGGGAGATAGCTCAGGGGGCAGTGGTGCACAGGAAAGTAGGACAGAGGGAAGAGGTAACTATAGGGAGGAAGTGGAAAGAGAGCTGTTACATTGTAGAGAATCGCAGCCAATGTCATGAAAAAAACGTGTATGACCTGCTGTATGGAAAAGGAATTTGCTCTACAAACTTTCACCCATATCACATAAAAATTAAAAAAGAAAGAAACATCTTAAATGAAAGATAAATGTTGCAGGAAGGCCAGCAATTTCTAGTTCTTTGGGTCTTTGGGCCAAAGACACATAGCACTTTCTAAAACCACTGCCTACTTTCTCCTGAGACAGGCAGCCTTGCGAATCCCGCCTGCCTGTCTCCCCAGCCCCAGCCACTGACTCACCCACAGACACCCTGCTGGGATAGAACGGGAGGTTGCTATGACGGCTGGAATGTACTGGTGAGTAAGGAGACCACTCCTGGAGCTCTGGGGCAAGCTCCCCACTGACTGGCATACACTTCTGTTCCTGTGGAACCAAAGACAAGAGGCATATGCAGGAAGCAGGGAAATAGGAGAGTGTGTCCGCATGTAAACAAACTAAGCACTAGTGGCCTAAGCACTAGCACTTCCCACTCAAACGTGAAGCGAAGGTCAGGAGAGAGGTCATGGCTCATTCATGTTCCCTTACACATCCAGGAGGGAAGGCCATCCTTTAAAATTACTTCAAAAGAATGCTTCAGAGAAGAAAATCCTCATTCATTCAAATAAATAGGTATTCTATGCTTCGGAAACCCAAGGAGGGGTCGCTATGAGTCGGGTCCAACTCGACGGCACATAACAGCAACAACGACATGTGTAGGTATTCTACGTGTAAAATGAGGACGGTGGTGGCTCAGTGGTAAAATATTCCTGCCTGCCATGCAGGAGATTCAGCTCAATTCCCAGCCAATGCACAGCCACCACTCGGCCGTCAGTGGACGCCTGTGTGCTGCTACAATGCTGAACAAGTTTCAGCAGAGCTTCAGACTAAGATGGACTAGGAAGAAAAGGCCTGGCCATCTACTTCTGAAAACCAGCCAGCCCTATTTATCACAACGGTGCCTTCTGATTGTGCATGGCATCGCTGTGAGTCAGGGGCCAACTTAACGGCAGGTGACAACAATGTATGTGTTAAAGATGAGACGAGACGTATGTGCAGCAGTCATGCACAGCTGCATCAAGCTTTCTGTCTGCTGGGAGCAGCAAGGGTCAGTCCCTGAAATGCTGTCTCAGCCCACGATCATGGAAACTACTGGAAACTACTCCAGCACAAAGCCAATCAAGCTGTCCTGCCGCTGGCCAAGTGTCATGTGTGTCTCCTTGTCTCCCTACAGCTTTCAAGGCCAAGTCCGAGCCAGTAAGTTTTGGTGCAGAAGTGTAAGAGCTGCTTGCTGGATAAGCAAATCAAACACCACACCCAAGAGAGTGCTCCTCTCTTGATGTCATATACCCACAAACAGGCATGTCCCGTGTCCCTGTCCCCTCTCTGGGGAAGGGTGTGCTGCTTTTCTGCTCTTTCCCACTGGCCTCCACCTTCCCTCTCCACCCCAGGCAAAGGCAGAGGCACTAGGGCTAAGCAGCCCTCAGTGGTGCAGTCACCCTGTGGAGCCACTATGACCTTCTGCCCCCTCCAGGCCCTGGCCCTCGCCCTCGCCCCCACCCTGGGGCAGAGTTCTACCTCCAGGCACTGAACAGGAGGGGCCACCGAAGCCAGCTTGGGCCGGAACCCAGGGGCAGACTTGGGCCGGCGGCGCTTCTGCCCCAGCTCGTCCGCCTTCTGAGAGGTGAGGTCTTCATCACAGGACTTCTTGGCTGGCAGGTAAGAGGAGTCTCCGTCCTCTTCGAGGTAGTAGCTGGAAGCGATGCGGACCCTGGCCTTCCGAGGGGGCGACACAGGCATGGGTTCCCCAGCATCCAGGTTAGGGGGCAGGGCCATTGGGGGGCTGGTGGATGGGGAGCTGCCCACCAGAGTGGCCTCCGACTCGGAACTGGTCTCCAGCCTGTGCTGGAACTTAATGGAGTCGCTCCTCCTGGGAGGTTTGGGGGGTGTCAGAGACCCCATTCTCTTGGAGGCCTGAGGGGAGTGAGCATGCCCAGGTCCTGAAAGCAGGTAGTCTATTTTAGGGGGTGTCTGGGGTCGTTTGAACGTGTTAGGGTCAAAGATGGACTTTCTTTGCTTTGGCTTCTTGTAAACAGAGAGCTTCTCAGGCTCTGCCGTTGAGCTGAGCACAGCCTTGGGCCACGTCCCCCCACTGTTGGAGCTCTCGGGCTCCGCTTTGTCCAGGGGGGCCTCCGCCACTCCACAAGGGCCCACCTCAGTCTCAAAGGGCAGCAGGGACCGCCGGCTACGACCCTCCACCAGCCCATAGCCGTGCTCCCCAGATGGGTCTGAGCGGAAGGAACTCAGGCTACGCTCAGAGGCACTGGGGCAGCCCTGGGGAGAGACCTGAAAGGGCCCCTCAGGGAAGGGCTTGTGCAAGAAGGAGCCGCTGCCTCCTGGGGGGGCCGTCTCCTTCCTGTCCTCCAGCCTGTCCAGGTAGAAGATATCTGTCTGTGTGGAGTTATTGTGCTGCATCAAGTTCCGTTTATTGTGAGCCTGGACCTCCGGGCCATGGGCTCGAAAACTCAACATCTTTTCCGAGTCCTTGAGGTTTTCAAAGATGTTCTGCCCACTCCACGAGGAGCTCTGGGGGAATACCTAAGCAGAGATTGCAGAGGAGTGAGAGGGGAGATGGTGGGAGCTGTCGTTACAGACCCTCCCTGTAGGCTGAGCAGTGATAAGGAATGGGCCACACACACCTTCAAGAGACAGACAGACACATGCATGTACAACCACATACACACACATAAGCTTGTACACACCACCTCTCCCTGACAGGTGAGGCTGTCCACCTGTCATTCTCATGGTCCTGGCCTTTGAACTCACAAGAAAGCCATCAAGTTCTTTTGCATTACAGTACTTTCTTAAATGAACTGCCCAATGTCCTGAACATTTAAAAATAATTATTAAATATAAAAGTAAAAGTGCATTATTAAAAATGCACCTCTTTGTTGGAACCCTCGTGCACTGCTGTTGGAAATGTAAAATGGTAGAGGTGCTGTGGAAAACAGTTTGGTGGCTCCTTAAAAAGATAAATAGGGAATGACCCTAGGATCCAGCAATTCCATGCCTAGGTATATACCAAACAAGATTTGAAAGCAGGAACTCAAACAGATAATTGCACACCCAAGTTCTCTGCGGTACTATTCACAAAAGGTGGAAATAACCCACTGCCATCAACAGATGAATGGGTGACAAAATATAGTACATCCACACAACGGGATGTATTACTCAGCCAAAAAGAGAAATGAAGTCCTGACACATGGATGAAGACAAGGATGAACCTTGAAAACATTATGCTAAGTGAACTCAGTCACTAAGGGACAAGTACTGTATGATCCCACTTCCATGAAGTACCTAGAACAGGCAAACGTATGTTGTTGTTGTTATGTGCCGTCAAGTCAGCCCTGACTCATAGCGACCCCTCCTTGGGTTTCCGAGGCAGTATCACTACGGAAGTAGGATTGCCCAACCTTCCTTCCGAGGAGTGGCTGGTGGGTTTGAACCGCCAGCCGTCTGGTTAGCAGGCAAGTGTCTTAGCCACTATGCTACCAGAGCTCCCAGGCAAACATATAGAGACAGAAAGTAGGCTGGTGATCACCATGGGCAGTGAGAAGGTGACACGGGAGTTATTGCTGAGGTCTGCAGTTTCTGTTTGCAATGATGGAAAAGTGTTAGAAACAAATGGTGGTGATAGTTACACAACAATGTGAATATAATTAATGGTACTGAACTGCACAGTGAAAATGTTTAAAATGGCAAATTTTATGTTATACATATATTTAATGTAATAAAAAAATATGTATCTCTTAATGAAATGGATGAACCTATTTTTTCCAACTTTCTACTATAAATCTTTTCAACACTGTAGAAAAGCTGATAGAAAAATATAGAGTATTCATAAGCCCACGATCTGGATATTTTACCACACTGTCTTTACCTACTGACTAGATCTATATTGGAGAGCACTTGGAAGTAGGTTACAAATATTTTGACATTTCAAAAACCCTAACAACTTCAACATGTACCTCCCCAAACAAGGCCATTCTCCTCCATAACCATAATGCCATCATCATACCCCAAGGAAATTGATAGTAATTCCCTAGTATTGCCTAATTATCCAGTCTATCTCCCAATGTACCCATTCATCCCCAAAATTTCTTTCATAGCTGTTTTGGGGTTTTGTTTTTAAACCAGGATCCAATCCAGACTCATGCAGGGAATTAGCGTATGACCCAGCAATTACAACCCTAGGTATACACCACTTTGTAAACCAAAAGGGTACCAATGATGCTGAAAAGAAGCTTGAGTACATGAGACTGAGGCTCAGGCTGTGCTGACAGCGAAGACAGAGCCAGGCTCGGTCAGGCATGGATTACCTTCAGAAGAGAGAGCGTCAGGGAGTCCTGGCAGCTCCGCAGCAGAGATTCACATTCATTCAGAGACTTGTTGTCGAGGGCAATGCCATTGATCTAGGGCAAACAGAGAGTCGGTCAGGCCCATTGGCAGCATGGCCAGCCTGGGCTTGCACTGGGACATGGACTGTGCCTGCCTGCCATCTTGTGTTGGACAGGAGGCGCCCTGTTCTGTATGGTGCCAAGCCTGGAGCAGGCAAAGGCAAGAGAGCCCCTCCCCAGGAAGGCACAAGCAGCCAGTCATGGTGCTTCTTAGGCAAATGAAACACATGCCCTTGTAATCATTCTAGGGGAAGGGGCTTGTCCATCTGGGACCAGAACACCAAGGATTCTGGAGGACTAGCTCAGCCCTGCTGCTTCTTGCTGTACGATACCTGACCACAGGTCCCCACTTCCAAGCTTCCTCCATGTCAAACTGTAAGATAAGTAAGTATGCCTCAAGGGGCAGTAAGAACACTGAAAGTGAGATCATGGATGCAAACAGACTCTGTAAACTACAGAGCACCACATGAAATGAAGCATAATCATGGTCCACAAAGAATCTCAAAACCCTGGTCCCGGAATCTCTGTCCATATCCCCCACAGCCATGTTTCAATCTTTGTAAAATCTATGTTGTGGGTGAATGGTTAAACAAATGGTACATCCCACTATGGAATACTGAAAAAACAAAACAAAACTCACTGCAATCAAGTCAGATCCGACTCACAGCAACTCTTAGTGGGTTTCCGAGGCAGTATCGCTGCTAAAGTAGACTGCCCAATTTTCCTTCTGAGCGTGGCTGGTGGGTTTGAACTACCAGCCCTCCAATTAGCAGTCAAATGCCTTAGACACTATGCTACCATAGCTCCTATGGAATACTACTCAACAATGAAAAGGAAGAAACTAGTGACAGGCACAAAAAACTGGACAGGTCTCAAGAGCATTGTGCTAAATGAAAAGAGCCAGTCTCAATCTCAGAAAGTCACCTACTGCATGATTCCATTTATATTAAAAAGCAAAAACAGTTGCTATGGAGTCAATTCCAACTCATGGCAACTCCATGTGCAGAGTAGGACTATGTGTGGTCCATAGGGTTTTCAGTGACTGATTTTTCAAACAGATCTCTGGGAAGGTGCCACTAGATGGACTTGAATCTCCAACTTTTCAGTTAGCAGCCAAGTGTGTTAACCATTTACACTGCCCAAGACTCTTGAAATGACAAAATTAGAGAGATGGAGAACAGATGAGTGGTTGCTAGGGTTTAGGAATGGTGGGCATAGAGGGTTAAATGTTACAATAAAAGGAATAGCAAGAGAGAGATCCTTGCTGTAATAGAACAGATTGCAGTGGTGGTTACATGAAACTATACAAGTGATAAAATGGCACATACACACACATTGACCAACGTAATTTCCTGGTTTTAGTACTATAGTTGTATAAGACATAACCACTAGGGAAAATGAGTGAAGGTACATGGGACCTCTCCCTGTACTATTTTTGCAACTTCCTGTGAATCTACAATCATTTCAAAATCAAAATTTAATTTGGGGATTTTTTCCTACATAAATTTTCTACATCTTAAATTTTTTTCACAATGATTAATACTGCCTTTGAAACAAGCTCATAAAAAAAGTCCAAAAAGCATCAGCAAAGACATGAAGCAATAAGCTCTCTCATATGCTGCATGTGAAAGGCTGTGACCCCTCTGGAGCACTATGGGAAGATCATGTCAAATGTTTGACGCATAGGGCCTCGATCCAGCAATCCACTCCGGGAATCTGCCCCAGGGCTTACTCCCTCGGCCCCAATGCAGGGATGGACCAGTGGTTACTGAAGCATTACTTGTAAAGGCTAAAACATTGCGGGGGAGAGGGGGGGAGAGGGTGCTGATTCAACAGCTTAAACTGCCACTGCTAAGGAACAATATGCAGTCACTGAAATGACAGGCAGCTCTATAGATGTGAATGTGAGGAACCTCCAAGATACGCTGCTAAAAACAAAAGCAGCAGAGTTAGCAAATTAATGTTATGATCCCATCTGGATTAAAAAAGTGAGAGATACACATTCTGAATATTTCTAGAAGAAAACACAATAAATTGATGACAGTGGTTACCCAGGTTGTAGATGGGGCATCTGGAACCCGAGGAAGAGGAGCTTGCACTGTCAATCTTTTACATGATTAGAATTTTGTGTGTATGTCTTTTTCAACTTATAAAAAGTGAGTTAAAAATATTAAGTGTGAAATAATGAATACCACCATCATAATATGATATTGCCCCTGAGTACCATGCTCCTTTAAAAGAATCACCTACATGAAACCAAACAGTCAACAATTACTTTAAAACAAAGATGAGAATACAAGGAGGCAGGGAAACTAGATTAATAGAAACAGAACCACCAGAATGGAAATAATGGTAAAATGAGAATGTTCACATATTATGAAGAATGTAACCAATCTCATGGAACAATGTGTATAGACACTGTTGAATGGGAACTTAAATTGCTGTGTAAACCTTCACTGTAAACATTATAAAATATTATTTAAAAAAAAAAAAGTAAGAATAAGAAAACTGAGAGAGAGAGAGAGAGAACGAGTGAGCATGAGCGAGTGACAGCCCTTTAGCACGGCAATTTCACAACACTTCCAGGAGTAGCATCTCCAAAGATACCATTAGGTGTCCCCAGAGTGGACGTGCACACAGCGGGAGCTCATTGCAGGACTGTTCCCAATTGCACAAATTGAAACTACAACTTACATAACCATCAAATGGGGGATAATTTAAGCAACATATTATCAAAAACAGAACACCATGAGGTGCATAAAAATAATGAACACTGACTTCGAAAAACAGCCACAACATAGAAATATAAATTACAGAATAACACAGTATGATCCCATTATTATATTTTGAAAACAAAAATCGGAAACCTGTGTAAATGTTTATAGGTGTTTATGATGAGCATTTAAGGGCTGGGGGCACACCCACCAAACGGGGGCAGAGATTATCTTAGGAGCACGAAGAGGAGGACCACCACTTTTTACTTTACACGACCTTGTACTGCTTGAATATTTTACAGCAAATAAGTCTTGCTTTTGTAGTAAAACAACTAAAAAGATAAATGGATATAATTTTTGGTAAAAAGGATTCAAACAATTACACTCAGATGATATCAATTTACTAGACAGATACAGACAGACAGACTGATATTGCTAAATCTATCTTCAGGTAGAGAATAAAGACTACAAAGAAATAATAAAAATGTTGCCTAAAGGTTATCTGGGAGCTCTGGTGGTATAGTGCCTAAGGCATTTGACTGCTAACCAGAAGGCTGGCAGTTTAAACTCACCAGCCACTCCCCGGCAGGAAGACTGGGCAATCTACTTCCATAGAGACACCACCTCGGAAACCCAAGGAGGGGTTACTATGAGTCTAACTGTCTTGATGGCAGTGAATTTTTTAAAGGTTATCTACTGGTGGTAGCAATGTAAGCAATTTTTATATCTTCTTCCTAAACTTTTCCTGTATTTCCTAATTTTCTATAGAAACCATAAATATATAATGGGGGGGGGAGTCCATTTCAAATGTTCATATGGGGTAATGCCCAAGAATAAGAATATAAAAACTCAGTTTATGACTATTAAGTTCGTTTTCAAATTTTCTCACTGTAATGTAACTATTTGCAGAAGGCCCCCCTTGCCTCATCCTTGAGACTTACTGCGACAATCCTATCTCCCACCGCAAGGGATCCTTCCTTGGCGGCAGGACTCCCAGGCACCACGGCAGCAGCGTACACTCCATTCTCCAGACTGATGCCGCTGTCTGCAAATCATAGGCAGGTGATGGTCACCAAGGAGTCCCATCTGGCCACCCTGGCTGCCCCACCCTTTGGTTACCCTACCCTGTCTTTGCTGACTAATTTATAAAGGGGGAAGTTGGCAGATATGCCCTGTTCAACCATCCCAGTACCCTACAGGGTAAGAGCACCCAGGGGGCTCAATACACATCTGGTCTGTTAAACTGAATGAAACACTCAAAATATAAACAAGCAAGACCCAGGACTCAGTCTCCCACTGTGAAAGCACACAAGCATCCACCACCACCACCAGTATTAACCTCTTCAGGAGGTACTCCTGCAAAGAGATCCACCCCTTCGACAGCCTGCTACCTTTCTGTCCGCTCAGGTTGATGTGCAGGGGCGTGACCACCTTGCTGCCCAGAGATTTCCTCCGCCGCACGACCATGTTAATGGCCCCCTCCCCATGAAGGAGTGCCTTGATGGCCTGCTTCTTGTCCTTGTTGATGAGGTCCACATCATTGATCCTCAGTAGCCAGTCATTGACCCTGAGCAGGGCAAAGTCAGGTTGGCATCCATTCAGGTGTGGGACCAACTGACCCAGCCCTGCTTCTCCCACCCTGGGAAGGTCAGAAAGCAGGAGCCCACATATACATTCCAAAAGACCATGGTTACACTCACAAATTCTGGAGCTAGACTTTCAAGGTTCAAATCCTGGCTCTACCATTTCCTAGCTATGTGACCTTGAGCAAGTAAACCTGCCCCTCTGTGCCTCAGTGTCCTCATCTGTAAAAAGGGTAATAATAGCACCTACCTCATAGGTCATAATGTTTAAAGAATTAACTTATATAAAGTGCTTAGAGTGGTTCTTGGCATATTTTTTTTTTCCAGTTGCCCTTCAGTCGATTTTAACTCATGGCAACCCAATGCATAACCAGAGTAGGACTGTGCTCCATAGGGTTTTCATTACCTGTTTTTTGGGGAGATTACCAGACCTTTCTTCCAAGGTACCCGTGAGCAGGCTCAAACTTCCAACCTTTTGGTTAGCAGCCGAGTACATTAACCATTTCCACCACCAGGAATTCCACTTAGCACGTAGTAAGCACTATATATATGGGTTATCTTATCAGCACTTTTACTTCATGGAATGAACAGACAGGCACATCTTGGGCTCTCACAGCCCTTTTTTCACTGAGAGAAGCAAAAGACAGCACCCTACTGACTGGCGAAAAGCCAGATTCAGGGGCCACTGAGAGGCTAGAGTTTCCTTTAAGAACAATATTAGCAGTTGCATCTATAGGTCTCAGACAGACTCGGTGGGATCTTCAGGCCCAGGGATGCACACATTTAACTGCTGCCTGGCTTCCTCTGGGCCCGTGGTCCTTTGCATTGAGTTGAAGCAGCCTAGTTTCCCTCTAGGGCCTGGGCCTTCATGACTCATACCTTAATCGTCCATCTGCAATGCTTCCTTTGTCCACTTTAGTGACAAATATGCCACAGTCCCCTGGGAAACAGGGTTCGTTCACACCTTCTGCCATATCGAACCCGAGAGCCTTCAAGTCAATATCTTCCTGTGAAGACAGCAGTAGCACCTGTTACAAAGCAGAGCTGAGGGACACTCAGCTCTCAAAACCCCCGCACCCTCACGCCATGTGGGTGACCATCCCATCACTGTGGACAGTGATGGGACTGGTACAATCCACCCCTAGCCACTGCAGACAGACACACATCTACCCCATCTTCTCTGGGGCTCTGCCCTTCCTTCTGCTTCTAGGCACCATCCCAGGGTCTGCAACATGACACAGGAAAACCCCACTCAGACTAGTGTGGGAAAGGATGCCTTCGAACCCAAGAGGAAAAGCTGAGCTGCCAAACCAGCCGTGGGACTGAGGGACACTGCAGAAAAGCCACTCCCTCACTCCCCAGGCCAAAGTCTTTGTGCAAGGAGAATGGAGACAAAGAACAGCAAGGGCAGCTCACCGTCTCCCTTTCAAACTCTACAACTTCTGTTTCCCACTCCATGGAGTCCGTGTCGATGGCCGAGTCATGGGAGCTATGGGCCAGCAGCTGCCTGAACCGGGCTTCCTTTCCCAACTGGGATTCCATCTGCTCCCTGTGGACAGAGAGAGCATGGCCCAGGCTCACGGGGAGGCAAGGTTCCCACCTTCTCACAGCTGCAAACCACAGAGGGCCATCCATAAGCACTATGTGGGCTATGTCTTCCCACAGGTGACCCCATGCACAATGGAACAAAACGCTGCCCGGTGCTGTGCCACACCCATGACTGGTTACAGACTGGACTGCTGTGATTCACAGGGTTTTCTGTGGCTGATTTTTGGAAGCAGACTGCCAGGCATTTCTCCCTACTCTGTCTATGTCTGGAAGCTGTGCTGAAACCTATTCAGCAAAACACACGCTGGGCGGCAGCTGGGCACGAAGTGCACTGGCTGGGAACTGAACCAGGGTCTCCCACACAGAAGGCAAGTTTTCTACCACTCAACCACCAATGTCTCATGACTTCAAACTAGCCCCCAGCAAAGTCGGAGGGTCAATGCAAGTCTTCTCATCAGTGGGTTTTCATGGTGCTAGTGACTACTTTTTTAAAAAAAGACTTAATTTCCCCCCAGATTGATCCATAGATTTATCCCAATTCCTATCAAAATCCCAGCAAGATTTTTTGTAGATACAGAGTCAGATCCAACTCACAGTGATCCCTCCCTGGGTTTCCGAGGTGGTATCTCTACAGAAGTAGATTGCCCAACCTTCCTTCTGAGGAGTGGCTGGTGGGTTTGAACCCCCAGCCTTCTGGTTAGCAGTCAAATGCCTTAGGCACTATGCTCTGATGAGCTCCCGTTTATTGTTGTTGTTGTTGTTTATAAACAAGACCACTCTGAAGTTTGTATGGAAAGACAAAGGAACTGGATTAGCTAAAACAATTTAGGAAATAAAGAATAAAAGTACGAGGATGACTATACCCAATATTAAAGCTTACTATACAGTACTCAGGATGGTGTGGTACCAGCAGGGAGACACACACATATATGAATGGAAGAGAATAGAGACGCCAGAAATAGACCCACAAATGTATGTCAACTGAGTTTTGACAACTAACTGAGGGGAGAAAAGAGAATGTTTTCAACAAAATGGTATTGGAGCAATTGAACAGCCACAGGCCAAAAAATAAACCTCACACCTTACATAAAAATGAACAAAACTGATCATAGACTTAAATATCAAACATTAACTCACTAACTCTTTTAGAAGGAAATCTTTGAGATGTAGGGCTAGGTGAAGGGCCCTAGATATAATGCTGTCAATAAAAAATAATAATAGTTAATAAATTGGACTCATCAAAATTGAAAACCTTAGCTCTGCAAAAGATCCTGTTGAAAGGATTAAAAAAAAAAGAAAATAAAGATTCAGAAACCTTTGAGCATTCCCCACGTAACATTCTTCTTCCTAAAATCTGGGCCCAAACTACCTTTTCGGTCTCTTGTATACCCCTGAATGAGCGCACACACACCCATGTCCACACCTGTACCTGGGCTGTGTTCTCATTGGTCGTCTCTAGAGTGGGCCAATGTTTCCTCTTCCTGGGATGCCTCTCTGCTGACCCCTTGCTGCTGTAGGCCAGTGAAGGATTCTTCCCTACAGGGCCCTACAACCAAATCCCCAACCTCTGCTTTAGAAGCGCCAAGCTCTGCATTTAAAGCATCAGCCAGCCCCTGGGGCCTGCCTGTCTGCAACTACAGACTAGAGCTTCCTTGAGAGTGGTACTGATTTCCCTCCTGAGCACCCCACTGGTTTGACAACTTAGCAGAAAGAAGGTCTGAATACAAATAACAAATGGAACTAAGGCCTCTTACCAGTTCCAGGCATCCCCTGCTCAATTAAAATGCAAAACCTCTTCCTGTGCCCAAGCCCTGGAGGTGCCAGGATTTAACTTAATTTGATTCCCTCACTTGCTGGAGTCAAGATGGGTTCCTCAGGGATCATCTGCCACTTTAACTCCTAACCTCTGAGACTTTCCTAAGAGCATGAAAGCCCCAGAATATCTGGGTTTTTATTTAATCCTGAAGCCCTTGGTCTTAGTTTGTTGTTGTTGTGTTATGTGCCGTCGAGTTGGCCCCAACTCATAGCGACCCCTCCTTGGATTTCCGAGGCAGTATCACTACAGAAGTTGATTGCCCCATCTTCTTTCCGAGGAGTGGCTGGTGGGTTTGAACCACCAGCCTTCTGGTTAGCAGTCAAGTTAGGCACTATGCTACCAGAGCTCCCAGTCTTAGTTTAGGAGTTAGTAAATGAGGGAAGGAACATGAAGCTGTCACTTCCATTGGAAAGCCATCACTCGGGTATGTGCGCTCAAACACACTCACATCCACATACAAGTGTCTCAATGTCCCTGCCCCACACACCAGCTAAACTTCAAAGAACAGATGATAGTCACTGTTTCTCAACTACAGAGTCCTGATTTAGCCTATGCTGGCAGCTCCTGGGCTCTGCCAATGACTTTTCATACTTTGTATTTTTTAATCTACCACTCACTCAAGGCCACCAAGTCTTAAATGACATCTCTAGAAGCAGTACTATCACAACATGGAAGGTTGTCTGACACCCCTAACAGTCTTCTAAAAAATACAAGCAGAACGGCTGCCTTCAAAGCAATGAACCACAGGCTATCATTGTATTCATTTACATATTTGATTCCCAAATGGCACTGCCTTTGGTCCGTCTCCTTCAGTGGACTGTGAGCACCTTGAGGGCAGGGACTTTGTTGTTCAGCACCGTCTGTTCAGGGTCTGACCCACACAGAGGGTGCCCTCAAGAAATACCTGTGGGATGAGTGAATTATTGGCATGTTCCCAAATGGCAAGAACCACATCTTGTATCTCACAGCTTCCTTCCTATGTGCTCTTTCAATACATGCCAGCACCATCACCATGTGCTAATAACCAAAGGGCTGGTACCATCTCCTGTAGTGTCTAAGAACTTCTCATCAATTCTCAAGATGAGCACTGAGATATTTGGATCCATTCTACAGATTGACAAGGTGAGGCAGAGTAAGTAGACTGAATGGCCAGACTGAACCTTGACAGGAGGTGGGCACCCACTCCCAGGCACACTCATCAGTGGTCACATGCCTCCTCCCACCCCCCAGGCCTACTTGAGCTCCTTAAGCTCGCGGCTGACATCGTTCTTCTGCTTGCGAGTGTCATCCAGGCTGCGCAGGGCCTCGGCCAGCTCGCTCACAGCCCGGTCCCGCTCCCGCCGCAGGTTGTCACATAGCGTCCTGGCAGAGAGGGGGCAGAGGGCAAGATCACATCAGAGGTAGGTGAAGAAGAGTCTCGTGGAGGAGCCTGCCGTGGATGGCCTGGCGGCCCCAGCTTCCAAAGCTCAGGAACTCCTGCCTTGCCCCAGATGGCACACAAAAGACACACTTTGGATTTGGGGGGAGCTCTCTCAGGCCAACGATGTCCCGTGACAGGAACACTGAGGAATCCAGAGGGGAATAGATAGCCCTAAGACCACTGGGCAATGAGCATCAGGTTCCAAACATCCAGTCCAAGGCTCTTCCCACAATTCCACACTCAATGTGCCTTACTTAGGTTAAGGACCACCACCCTCCTGCACACAGTCACTATTCTAACACCTGTCTGGGGGTCTCCTCTGCAATGAACCCCCCCAGGCTTCTGTGTTCCAGCATCTACCACATGTCTCTTAACCACCCAGATGCAAGATTTCCACAGCCAACCCTCCACTGGGCTGGAAGCCACATGCAGCCCTGTAGCCCTGAGGTCTGTGCAGGTACCCTGCAATATTAAAAGAAGGTGTGGTTTCTGGGACCCAAGATCTCCTCAGCTACTCAAGAGGAGAAGCAAGAGGATGGGCATTCCTGACAGTGCAGAGTCTGCTCTGTGCACCTCAGAATTGTATCCTGCCACTGGTGCATACTAATGGCTGGACCCCATCCCTCCACATCCCCAACCCCATCCCATGCCCCACCCCTTGCTAACACTCTAGCTCATGGCTGCACCTGGAGAAACCTAGAGAGGGTCAGAGGGACCCACTGAGCACCAATCCCACTGGGGTCACCCTGTCATATCTGCTGCCTTCGAGTCCCTGCCCCGACCCTTACTGCACTGTGCACGAAGCTGCTCGCCATCAGCTGAGACTTGCCACTCCATGTCTGGCCACCCCAACTCTCCTGACTGGCCCCTCAGACATCATCTGCCTCCAAATGGCCACAAAGTATCCTTCAGAAACCCCTCAAAGACTAAGGCATGTGCCTCCCTTACACCCTCTTGGGCTCTCCCAGTTCTGTTGCAAGAAGGATCAAAGCCACACTTCTTGGCTTACCTTTCAGGGCCTTTACAACATGCCCTCAAGACCTGTCAGCCTCCTCTCCTTATGGCCCTCCCAAATACCCTGCTCCAGTCCTGCCCGTATCTCACCCTGAGCACACCCCACACCTTGTCCATGCTACTCCTTCACTCCTCAACACCCTTCCCCGCTCACCACTCCTGCTAAGTTCCAGCTCAAATGCCATACTTTCTGGTGAGAGCTTCCTACCAGCAGTAACCTCTGCTCACCACCCTGGGATCACCATGCACATGCCCTCCTCCTCACTGCCCTGGGATGGCCATGCACACACCCTTCTCCCTGCTGCCCTGAGGTAACAATACATATGTCCTCCTCTCCCTCACCCCCTACCCTGGGATCAGCATGCATGCGCCAAGCTATCCTGGGATGGTCATGTGAGCACCTTCCTCCCTGCTGCCCTAGGGCTGCCATCCACAGACTCTTGTCCCCCCAGTGACCTGCCTACAGATCTGGCCCAGGCCCTACACAGCATCAGACCTATAGGCATCGTATGTGTCTGCTGGTCTTGGAGGCTGTTCCTATCCCATCCCTTGCTCCAGGAATCTGAGACCCCAGCAGACAGCAGCCACCCAATGCATATGAGCTAAAAGAATCCGCTTCTGCTGTATGGTCTCATCAGAAGCCCCTAGCACAGGTCTGTCCCACTTCATAGAGACCGTGTCTGGACACAGGCAGCTCAGGACATTCAGAGTAAAGTGATGTAGGAAGGTCAGACATAAAGAAACTGAGGGGGAGCTGGGGCTAGGGAGGAGCCAGGAGTCCCTACTCTACCTGCACACAATCTGACCCTCCCACAGACCCCACCTAAGGAGCGGATCTAAGGGTGTGGGTGGCCCTGTACCGGATGCTGTCGCGCTCCGCCACGATCTTGTCCCGCTCCTGGAACGCCCAGTCCCGCCGGCACTTAGCCACATCTGCCTCCTGCAGGGCTTCCTTCAGCTCCTGGCACAGAGCCTTGCATTGCTTTCGGAGGATTTCAACCTCCTTGTTGGCTCTCCCAGCGTCCATTGTCACCGTGTCCTTGATCTGGAGGGTGTAGGGACAAGAAGAGAGGGCCTTTACTAAGCTTTCTGGCCCTGAGGATCCCCCTATCAGTGCTAGGGGTTGAGTTGTGGCTCTAGGGAGCTTGGCGGAAAGTGGGGTGTACCTGGATCATAACCTGAGCTCAATCCAACATACCAACCCTTCCTGTACCCCCCAATGACTTCACGCACATGTCTACAGTCAAAACTACTAATGATGCTAGGCTAGAGTTCCAGTCCGAACTCTCAAGACCCCACACGGTCCTGGGCTGTGTGTTAGCCTCTGCTCAGCCAAAGGCCTCAGGGGTCCAGAAGGAATGCCACCCATGGCATCCTTGTTAGAGGTTATGGTCACCACTTAGCTGGTCCATACCCTCCCCAGAGCTCATTATAGCTTTCTAAAGATCTCTCCTAATAAAATCACATGAGTCTGGGCTGCCATGGAGGGTGCTGACACTGGTCACACTCGAAGCAGAAAAATAATAGTTTTCCCAACTTCTGTGTCTGCAATACTGGGTTTTATGCTCTAGCATGTGGAGTTATTTTTAAATATGATACACCAGTGTTTTTATTGGTGAAGTACTGCTTATTTCTGTTCATATAAAAAGTTGAAATCAGGCACACTGGCATCTTGACACCTCTCCAAACAATTATATGCACCATTAAAATTTCAAATAGAAAACTGCCCCTGGGGATCTGTGTAGGAGATCTTGGATAGAGTAGGAGATACAGCATGGTTTAAAATCAGGAAGGGAGTATGTCAAGGTTGTATCCTTTCATCATACTTATTCAATCTGTATGCTGAGCAAATAATCCGAGAAGCTGGATTATATGAAGAACATGGCATCAGGATTGGAGGAAGGCTCATTAACAACCTGTGATACACTGACGATACACCTTTGCTTGCTGAAAGTGAGGACAACTTGAAGTACCTGCTGATGAAGACTGAAGACTACAGTCTGCAGTATGGATTACATCTCAATATAAAGAAAACACATAAGCAGAGATAATGTCTTATAATTTAGTCCTAGAAAAACCAGCAATTTATTTTTCTGTTTGTTTTTCTTCTAAATGTTATTGTTGTTGAGAATATATACAGCAAAACACACACCAATCCAACATGATACAATTTAGGGACAATGATCACATTCTTCAAGCTGTAAATCTATTCTCACCCTCCTTTTCTGAGTTGTTCCTTCTTCATTAACATAAACACATTGCCCCAAGGTTCCTGTCTAATTTTTTGAGTTGCTGTTGGTGATTGATTCCACATAGAGTGTGCCTACAAGACCACAACGCTCAAGGAAGACCTTTTTTCACTAGTTCAACTAAACTGTTGTTGGGCTTTAAAATGACTTCAGGGAATATTTCTGGTTTAAGGTTCAGAGATTATCTCAGGGCAGTAGTTTCAGGGGTTCATCCAACCTCCATGACTTCAGAAAGTCTAGAGTCCATGAGAATTTGAAATTTCTGTTCTGCATTTCCCCCCCAACTAGCAATTCATTTTTATATTCTGAAATATGAGATGCTTAATTGTTAGGAGAAAATCCTCATCAGATGAGGGGCATAGAAAGACTAAGAAAACTGAAAGTGACTCAGTCAGTAAAGAAAGTGTGGAGGAATGTCAAGCAAGTAAGGTCTTACACAGGGGAACCTGTGACAGGATAGGGAGGCTGCTTGAGTGGGTGTTTGAACCAGGAGGGGCCAACAGTACACTCTGGAGACGTTTGGAAGGCACAGAGCAGTATGAGGAAGAGCGGCGGCAGATTCCCTGAGTGCTGGCCCATGCGTGAGCAGTGCTAACGCATGTCTCCTTGCAGCCTTTGGAAATGGTTTCTGGGTGTGGCCATCACTCCTAAGGCCATGCCCTTCAGACTGAGTTCAGTTCCCAGGCCGACGTAGGGGGTATTGGCTGGGCATCAAGTCTTCTGTCAGCTGAGGCAGGAATCTCTCTGAGGCACTGTTCCGAGTCAGTAGGCAGAGAAGAGAGCCCTGCCCTGCCTCCACCCCTGCAGCTGGGTGCTTCTGGAGTTGAAATCCTCTGCGGTTTCTGAATTTTGCCTGGCTCCCTGGATAAGACCACTTCTTACCCAGCCATCCTGGCCCTGAGGATGGATGGAGTCTGACTCCCTCCCATGACCTGGTGAGACCCCTAGGGTGGGGTTGCCTTCCTGGGTATCCCACTCCAGGCCTCTCCAGCACCTTCCAGGTTGGGGGCTCAGCTGAGGAGGTCCTTCAATTACTCTTATTCCTTTTTCTAAGAACTGGTGGCACAGTGCCTGAGGCACTGACTACTAACCAGAAAGTTGGCAGTGCAAACTCCCCAGCCACTCTGTGGAAAGAAGATGGGGCAATCTAATTCCATAAAGATTCACCACCTCAGAAACCCAATGGGGGTCACTATGAATGGAATCAACTCAATGGCACAGAAAGGTGAAAAGAGTGGACTGAGGAGGCCCTGACTCCCCACAGTTCCTTGGGCTGCCTGGACATGAGGCATGATGGCTAGTGGAGACACACACAGGGCCCCAGCTGCCCTTGGGCATCAGCTGTGCACTGTGTAGAGGAGAGAGGGGTCCGGCTATAGTCCTCCAGTGCTCACTGTTCCTCTGCCAATTTGCTTGAGCCTTAGCACCATGTTTTTGGCTACTTGTAGAAGAGGTTCTAACTGACCTACACAGACAAGAAGAATGATGGGGAGGCATGGATAGAGAACTACTTTGATGGGGAAGATCTGCTATGATCATGTTCAGCAGCTCTAAATAGCACTGACCAACAGAAAGGGAAGGGACTCTCAGATATGGGGAGTCCACGAGCCGGTCCAAGCCCCAGGAGGACACACCTGGAGTTAGGGTGAGCAGCACCACTAATGAGATGGGGGTTCAAAGCCCCAGGAGGATGCACCTGGAGTTGGGGTGAGCAGCACCGCTAATGAGGTAGGGGTTCCAAGCCCCAGGAAGACGCACCTGGAGTTAGGGTGAGCAGCACCACTAATGAGGTGGGGGTGGCTGGGTAGAAAGGATGCGGGAAATCCACACTGATCACAGGAGTCCAGCTGAGTGGCCTATCTAATGCTACTGAACACCCCAATCAAGGCATGGTCCCCAGGGAGCACGGCTTTAGTAGAAGGGCCTAGGGCTCAGGCTAGTATAACATGTTCCCAGCACAAGCCCAGGCCACCCCTCTCTAAGAGCAGTCTCCTTCAGATACAGGCAGTGGTGGCTGGTGGCAAAGAGCTCCTGAGGGTGCTCTTCCAATTCTCAAGGGTAAACATGGCTCTAGCCTTGGGAACTTGGTTTTGGGATCTCACTTCTTAATCAGCAAGTCTTGAGATAACCTCTGACTTTACTTTCAGCACAAGACTGACTTGCAATTACTTGACTGTGGTTGTGGGTATGAGGGTGTCTATGTGTGTCATCTGACCTTCTTCCTGGGCTATAAGCTCCAGAAGCCTGGGACTACAGGTGGGCCTTCTTTGTGTTCCCTCTAGCCAGCCCCAGCCCAGAGCTGGGTGCTGAGCACAGACCCAGCAGTTACTCTGGCAGTGCCTGATAACACAGCCAGGACATGTGGGCCTAAAAGGAGAAGCCCTAGAGTCCAACTTGGAAGAGGTCTTCCAAGCTGAATACTATGTACTCTGTAGCCTCTTACTCCCTCGCTGCTATATGAGAAGCTGCAAGGCTGCTGTGGTAGTTAAGGTTGTATGTCAACCTGGCTGGGCCTCACTGAGTGGCTGGCTGGATGTGGTTATTCCCCCTGGTGAAACTGGTAATTAACTCCATGGTGGAACCTACTGGAGCAGCTGAGTAACTGCTTTAGGGATGTGGGCTGCTTCCAGCATATAAGAAGCCACTATGAGGAAGGTCTCCATCTGATGGCATGCCTGAACCCTGCATGCAGTCAAGCTGTTGTTCAGCAGCCTATCATGTTGCCCTACTGATCTTGCAACTTTCAATGGACTTGAATTAATGGCTGGCCATGGGGTTTGGTAGTATCAGGAACTGTGCCTTTTCACTTGTCGACTTTGGGTTTGTCAGCCAGCAGCTGTCTGAGTGAAGAGATGCCTCTGGCTTCAGTGGACCAGGAGCAAGAGGCAGAGTTGAAGCCCAAGGTTGAGGTGCTTTCATCTAGCCCTTAGAGCCTGGCACCTGGAATCAAACTTCTAACCTCCAAAATTGTAAGAAAATGTTAAAGCCATCTCAGGAGCTCTGGTAGCATAGTGCCTAAGGCACTTGACTGCTAACCAGGAGGATGATGGTTCAAACCCACCAGCCACTCCTTGGAAGGAAAGTTGGGCAATCTACTTCCATAGTGATACCACCTCGGAAACCCAAGGAGGGGTTGCTATGAGTCTGGTCCAACTCGATGGCACATAACAACAACAAAGCCATCCCATTTCTGGTATATTTCCATTAGAGTGGCACTAGGGAGCTCTGGTGGCATAATGCCTAAGGCATATGACTGCTAACCAGAAGGCTGGCAGTTCAAACCCATCAGCCACTCCTCAGAAGGAAGGTTGGGCAATCTACTCCCACAGTGATAGCGCCTTGGAAACCCAAGGAGGGGTTGCTGTGAGTCACATCCGACTCGATGGCAGTGAGCCTGGTTTGGTTTTGATTTAGGTAACCAAAACAGCTGCCCACCTACTTGCTACCCGCCTACCTGCCGCAGCGCCTCCATCTCCTCACTGGCCGCCTTCTTCTCAGACGTGCTGCTCTTGAGCTTGGATTCGGCCAGCTCCACCTCGGTCTGTAGCTTGTCCAGCTCGGAGATGACTTGGTCCCGCTCACTCATGATGAGCTTGTACTCGCTATACACCGCGTCTCGCTCCTCCTTATACTTTTCCGACTCCTTTGCAGTCTTTGCCTGTGCACTCCTCAGCTCCGTCAGCTCCGACTGCAGCAGCTCCATCTCCCACTGGAGGTCCTTGTTCTGGGCCGTTGCCTTGTTCAACTCATGGTGGATTGCCTCGAACCTGGGGAGAGAGGCACTGGGACATGGGGGCAGGGCAGTGCCCTACCGGTCAGCTGCTGGGCCACTCTGCCGTGCTGGACAGCCAAGCATGAAGTTTCTAGTGAGGTCATTCTCCCGCACACCCAAGAGAGAAAAGTCACGGAGGACCAGTGCCTCTGAACTGGAATTTTCTCAGCCTCTTACAAATACCACAAGTTGAACTGAGGACGTCATGCCCTCTGCTCTACTAGAAATAACTAACACCTTATTTCTTCCACAGCCAGGCTACATTCTTTAAAAAAAAAAATCACAGTACATTTGCACCAAATAACAAAAAATAATTTTGAAAATAAAATTAAACGTCCAATACAAAAACAAAAACAATCACAGTATATGAGATACCATAGTGGCCTTAACAATCATTCAGTCCAGCAACCTCATTTACACATACAGGCAACAGGGCTTTGAGGAAGCAGGTGACTGGCCCAAGGTCACGGCCCAGTCCTTCCAGGCCAGAAGGTACTATCCACACGAAACAACCCTGCAAATTAAGAGTCTGCAGCTCGAGAGCACCATTTCTCGAAGTGTCAAAGTGTGTTCCTTAGAACACCCCTGTGTCAAAAGTTCCATTTTAAAAATGTTGCCCACGATCACTTCTGTTCGGGAAACACTGCAGCCTGAGTTCCCCTGTTGGAGACTGTGGAATTCCAGAGGAAAAGCCTGGCAAATCCTGCAGGAAACAAGCCTTTCTGTGTTTGACCCAACAGTTACCAAACCTGCGCACCCAAGGAACACTCCAGAGAACTAGTTTTCAACAGGAATGTTCCTTACAAAAAAAACTGTTTTGAGGGCAGTGACCACATCTCCAAAGATGATTATATTCTCTAATACCAAATACAACTGTAGAAGAAATAATGCCCATAGAAATGAACTTTCCTCTTTGCTGGGTAGGTGGCTGAGACAGACAGGAAAGACTTGTGGGAAAACTTAAGATAAAGGATGCTCAGAACCCACGAGAACTGTACAGGTAGGAGAAAGAAGCCACAACTCCCAAGACACAGTGAATGACAGTGATGGTTAATTTTATGTATCAACTTCACTAGGCTAGGGTTCCCAGTGATTTGGCCAAATGCAAGTCGAGTGACTGTCCTGGAGTATACAGGCAGTACCCAGATTACAAACAAGATCTGTTCCTAAGTGTGTCTTTAAATCATATTTGTAGCTCAGTTGTAACAGGTGCATGCAGCTCTTATTTAGCCTTATTTTAAACTGGTAGTGTAATGGTTAAGGCATTCAGCTGCTAACCAAAAGGTCAGAGGTTCAAACTCACGAGCTATTCCATGGGAGATAGATGAGACTATACTTCTGTGAAGATTTACAGCCTTGGAAACCCTGTGGGACAGTTCTACTCTGTCCTATGGGGTGGATATGTGTTGGAATTGACTTGATGGCAGTGGGTTTAACTTGATTTTGGTTCATTGCAAGAAAAGGTTCAAAGCCTTTTCAATGATTTAAAAGCTACATGTGCAATACAGTACTGCATTGTCAGTGAAGGCAAACATGGGTATACAGGTGGATAGATGGATGGACAGGCTGAACTATTACGTATGTCTGTGCAGCAGAGAGTATACCCAAGACCATGTATAAGGTTGGCAGATGCAGTGTAGTAAATTACTTAGTGTGGCTTTTCTACCCGTAAGTCTTTGTAAACTCCAAGGTGGGATTTGCTATGAGCAACTGAGGAGCTCCTGATTGCTGAAGCTATCCACCTGGGTTATTTCTGTTGGGCGTGGCACAATACAATGTTCTGGGAGGTGCCCACTCTCTCTCAGGTGCTTTGAGTTCTGATGCTATGATTGGCTAGTTTGACCACCCTGCCAGGCTCAAAAGGAGGCCTCCTGGAGACAGAACTCTCTCTGACTGCTGGTTGAAGAAGACGTGCTGCTGAAAGAGACACGGGCTCCTGAGACATGCATTGCTGGGAGAGAGACGCAAGAGACATGCATCACTGAGTGAGACACCGAGGTACCAGCACTGCTGGGAAAGAGACTGTGAGAGACTGTTGGCTGAAAGACGGTGGGCTGGGAGAGAGACTGAGCATTTTCCCTGAACTTGAATTGTAGCCTGTGGTGCTTCCCTAATAAACCCCATAATCTGTGAGTTCTGTGTGGCCACTGCAGCAAATTATTAAACCCAGGAGAGAGGTGGTGGGTGTTTTGAGAGGAACAGTTGGTGAAAGTGCTGGAGGGAGGCAGCATGTCTGGCCTTGCAGTAATAGGCCTTGGGTTACTGCTGGTATTCCTGTCTTCCTCTCATGGGATTACAGGAGGTCAGAACATGTGGCCTCCTTGCCCTTTTTGCAGCAGACAATGGTTCTACAAGTGTATTTGTATGTTCTGTAAGAATTCCCAGGTATATAGTAGAGCTCACAAGGGACAAGGTCACTTCTTGGGCACAGCCACCTACCCAGAGGGAGCGAGTGGTTGAACCTGTGGGCTCAGGACCAGAGTCGCAGGGGCCATCAAGCTCAATTGGCATAACATACCACACAAAACACTGTTCTACCTCCTACTTTGGTGAGTAGCGACTGGGATCTTAAAAGCTTGCAAGCAGCCATCTAGATGCAACGACGGGTCTCTCCTCATCCAGAACAAACAAGAATGAAGAAAACCAAAGATTCATGGAAAGAATTAGTCCTAGCAACTGGTACACCATGCCATCTGCATCCTATACAACTGTGAGACCAGGAGAACTAGATGGTGCCCGGCTACCACTGTCTACCACTCAGAGGGGAATCTATGTAAGAGATTCTGGATTGAGAGGGAGAACAATGTGGAACAAAACTCAAAATCATTTGGAAAAAAAAAAAAAAAAATGGGACCAGGCTTGCTGGTCTGATAGAGCCTGGTGGAACTATAGCCCCTAGCTACCCTTCAAGTCTGGAATTAAACCCACTCCTGTGGCTTCCAGCCAAACGAAAGACAGGCATATGAGTTGAACATTTACATTAAGTAGATACACTCCTTGGAGAGAACAATCATGGGAGAAAGAAAGGCTGCTGATGCACAGGGGACAGCTCAGGGGCAGGAGTGCATGGAGGGATGGACACAAGGAAGAGGTAACTATCGGGAGAAAGTAGGAGGGGAGCTGTTGCATTGGGGTAAATTGTAGTCAATGTCATGAGACAAAGTGTATGTGAACTGCTGTATGGAAACTGAATTTGCTATGCAAATTTTCACCCAAATCACAATAAAAATTAATTAATTAATTTTAAAAAGCTGCACATGCAGCAAGTGAAGACGACTGTGATAAAGAATTTGTTGTGAGTAAGGACTGGTTCATAGGAGCTCTGGTGGTATAGTGATTAAGGCATTTGACTGCTAACCAAAGGTCAGTGGTTCGAACCCACCAGCTGTGCCATGGGAGTAAATCTTCTGTAAAGATTTACGGCCTTGGAAGCCCAATGAGGGGCTGCTATGAGTCAGAATTGACTCAATGGTAGTGGATTTGGCTTGGTTGTTTTTTTTTTTTTAAGCATTGGTTCAAGGAGCCCTAGTGGTGCAGTGGTTAAAGCACTTGGCTGCTAACCAAAAGGTCAACAGTTTGAACCTACCAGCTGCTCCATGCAAGAAAGATGTGGCCTTCTGCTTCCATCAAGATTGACAGCCTTGGAAACTCCATGGAACAGTTCTACCCTGTCCTACAGGGTTGCTGTGAGCCGGAATCAACTAGACAGCAGTGCATTTGGGTTTGGGTTTCGGTTTTTGGAGGGAATGATTCAATCATTTCAGTGTGAGGGTAAATTTACATAACATTAAAGCAGGGCTTCAAAGATGGCAGTGCCCTAATCAAAGATGGAGGTGGTGCCCCAATCAAAGATGGCAGCCAATGGTATCACTTTGATTATGTGTAGCTCTCCACAATCCTGTCAATAATCCAATCTCACTCATCAGGCTCACTATGCTTCATCCAAGTCTCTCATTTCAGGGCTTCAAAACCTGTAATTCTCCCTGTTCAGTTACCATGAAAAATAATGGAAATTGTAAAAATTCTAGTCTGTTTCTATTTTGCTTCATTGGCCACAAAAGAACCAATTCAAAGCCTTGTATTAAAGGACAAATAGAAACTGTCTGTGAGTCAGACATTTGTAACCTGAGGACTAACTGGCATTACATATGATTAAATCAGTTGGCCTTAGGCAGAGCAGATTACGTTTTATAATATAAATCGAATGCAATGTGATCAATCAGCTAAAATCAAAACAATGCAGGATGCATACTAAACCTAATCACTTCTGAGTTATAAAAACACCAGGACAGATGGAGATAAACACAAGGGGAAGATGGACCACATGTAACGATTGTCTTTAACCATTTCATGATCCACAGGACATATACCACACAACAGTATTTTCAGCTCTCTGGTTTCTTGGGAAGGTACTATATCAGTTATAGTACATGCTGCTGTCTGGAGGGGACCTGTATAACTGCATGAATCTGAAAAAAGGAGCCTTACCTAACCAATTCTACCATTAGAGTCCACTTGAGATATGTGTCCCAAATATATCAAAATCCTTATTACAAAAAAAAAAAAAAAGTTTCCCCTTGATTTCTGCACACCTTTCATTATTGAAAACAAACAGTATCAACAAGGAATTCAAAGCTGAAAATAATTCAGTCATGAAAGAGATATGCAAAATACCAACAATTGCTAGCAGACACCAGAAACTAGGAGAAGCTCATAGAAGGAGCCAAGACCCTGATACAGCATTTTAGCCTCAAGAAATGGGAGGAGATACTTGTGTTCTTCAAAGCCACCCACTTGCATTAAGTATTTGTATTTGTATTAAGCAGACCCAGGTAACTAAGACAGTGTCCAAAATAGGTTTCCTAGGAACATTGCCTGGAAATAGGTTTACTTGTTTGTTTAATTTAAAAAAGCCCAACAGCAGAATATACTTCCTGGAAGTGGCTGGGAGCCTTGTAGACAAGTCAAGCCCACAAAGGAGTGGGGCCCAGAAGGAAAGCAGGTTCACCGGGCTCCCTGTGTGTCTCCAAGAGGAGAAAGGCAGGTGCCCGGGCTCTTACCTGCGCAGGGAGAGGGCGCACTGGTGCTGCAGCTGGATGGCCGTGTCCCTCTGCTGGGTCAGCATCTCCGTCTGCTTCAGCAGGCGCTGGTTCTCATCCTCCAGCTGCTCCAGGCGGCTCAGGTCCGAGTTGTGGATGGCGACCTTCTCACTGTACCGCTTCCGCAGGGCGTCGTAGTCCTTCTTAACCACCTCCAGCTTGTCCATGGCCGTGTCGTACAGCTTGTTGAGGATCTCTGATGACCCATTGTGCTTCAACACCTCAAGAGCAGAAAGAGTCATTCTCATCAAAGGTCTGGGTGCAGGGGCAGAGCTCACCACTCTCTCTCCTGTCTAGCTGGGACTGCTGAGGAGGGTGGGGACAGGCTGTGCCTTCTGGCCTTTGGAACTCTCTGGTCTGATTCTATAAGGCCTGAGTCACAATGGGCTGATACACTCAGTCATTCACATACATTCATTAAATCCTGTGCAGAAAAAGGGTTAATACCAGAGGCCTGAGATGCTCATCCTTAGAAAGGGATGCATGCATAGTCAGTCCTGGCTGGTGTCTGGTAAACAGTTCCCTACACTGATGTACAACTTACATTCCATAGTAAGAGTGGCTTCCAGTGCCTACACTATACAATGTGGCTTATGTTCAATATCTGCTTTCATGCTGGGGCCCTAGAATGTTGGTACTTGCTAGGCAGATTGCCAGCCCCAATATAAATCTTAGACACCGGGTATCTAACGGCTTCCTGGAAGATAATACTTCACACATGCTGTCATGACTTCATGCTGGAGGATGTAAGAGCATCCTGTGGGACTCCATAAGGAACTCCGGGGGTGGGTGTAGTGGTTAAGACATTTAGCTGCTAACCAAAAGGTTGGTGGTTCAAACCCACCACAGCTGCTCTGCAGAATGACAAGGCAGTCTGCTTCTGTAAAGATTTATAGCCTTGGAAACTCAAGGGGGGCTGCTGTGATTGAGAATCAACTCGATGGCAGTGAGTTTGGTTTTTTGATTTTGAAGGACTCCATACAGAGAGGAATCTTGGAAACTCACACCTGGTTTCCCCCAGACTTTGTCCCACATGCCTTTTCCCTTTGCTGGTCTTACTCTGCGTCCTGTCACAGTATTAAATCTTGGCGATGAATACAACTACCTGTGGAGCCCTGTGAGTCCTCCTAATGATTCAGGGGGGCGGCACTGGAGACCCCAAAGGCAGGACCTAATACGTAGCAACACTGCTGTAGATGCTGGTGATGCTGAACAGGACTGATAAAGACTATGGGGCTTATATCCTAATGGGAGGAGACAGGTAGGTAGGAAGGCAGATAGACAGACAGACAGACCAAGTGAATAAAGTAATTTCAGAGCATGGTAAAGACCATTAGGAAAATGGAAAACAGAATTGGAGAATGTGCTAGAGGGAAGAGAGTCCTGGGTAGCAGGGGGAAGGCTACAAGAGAGGTTAAGGCCTGTGAAGGTCTCTCTAAGAGGGTGACTTCTGAGCTAAGATGCAAATCCTGAGCAGCAGCAGCCAAGACCACACAGCGGGCACAGAGGAGAGTGAGTGCAAAGGTCCTGCGGCAGGAACCACCTGATGTGTTCTAGGGACACAGCAAAGGGCAGGGCAATAGCTAGAGCCCAGTGAACGAGGATCGTGGAGCTGGTGCGGGATCAGGCAGTGTTTTGTTCTGCTGTGCATGGGTTGCTATGAGTCGGAAACGACTGACAGCACCTAACAACAACAACAAGTGAATGAGGGAGGGGTCCAGAAAGAGGATGGAAAAGTGGGCACATTACAGCTTCAAGGCTCACAATGAAGACTATACTTGAGAAAGAAACCGGAGAAGGTGTAGCAAGAGAGTGGTATAATCTGATTTACAATACTAAGGCTCAATGGTGACAGTGGTTAAAAAAAACACTCAGTTGCTAACCAAAAGGCCACCAGTTTGAATCCACCCATCTCTCTGAGAGGAAGATGAGGAAGGCTGCTTCTGTAAAGATTAACAGTTTTGGAAACCCTATTAGGCAGTTCTACTCCGTCCTATAGGGTCTATGCGAGTTGGAACTGAAGCGGTGGCAGTGGTTTGGGTCTGGAGGTCCACTTGAATGCTGTTTAGGATATGAACAGAAAGCAACTGGAAGATGGGTTAAGAGGATGCCATGGGGCCTGTCTGCTAAGCACCTGGTGGAAGGGGGCATGAGACCCTGAGTGGGTCACTTCACCTCTCAGGGCTTCAGTTTCCTATTCCTCGAATGACAAGTTTGAACCAGAAAAACTCAATTAGCCCTTCCAGGTCTACAGCCTGGAATCATCCACTTACTCAGTATGAAGCCTGAATTATCAGAAGATCTTTGCAGCCTGAGGAACTAGAACCAGAGGCAGGACCAGAACCAGAACCAGAGGCAGGATCAGCCCTCACTAGATATTGAAGAATACAAAGGAGCAAAGTTAACAATCCCAACCCCAGAGATAATTAGCGAACGAGCTCCTCTAAGCCCTGGCCTGAGACCCCAGATTACCAAAGGAAAAGCCCCACCGAACTGTTTGCCTGCGGCTTTTGGTCTGTTTTCTTTTTAACAAAAAACAGAACTCTTTCTTTCAAAGGAGATCTTTCCAGGTCACCAAAATTCGGAACTCATTTAAAGAAAAGTACGTAGGTTCCTTGGCAGTTAAAATCTTTGTTTTGTAAAAAAACAAAACAACAAAAAAGCTTCCCTCTTGTGGAGCCTAAAACCAAAACTAAACTCACTGCCGTGGAGTCAACTGAGACTCACGGCGACCCCTCCTTGGGTTTCCGAGGCAGTATGTCTAAGGAAGTAGATTGCCCAATCTTCCTTCCAAGGAGTAGCTGGTGGGTTTGAACTGCTAGCCTTCTGGTTAGCAGTCAAGTCCCTCAGGCACTATGCCCCCAGAGCTCCTAGAACAGGACTATACTCAGAAATATGGTCAGGGCACCACTGATGCAGCCCCACCTTCCTTTAGAAAAATGAAGCATCTTCCAGACACAGGCAAGCACAGCAAATAATGTAACCAAATTTTATGTACCCACTGCTCAGCTCTGAGCAATCTTACTACCTGTGTCTCAAACTGTTTTCCAAAGAAAGAGAGCATTATTGGTGTTGTTAAAGCCCCCAGGGCACCCCGCCCTGATCCCATTCCCCACCCAACCACCACACACACACACACACACACACACACACACAGACAGACATACACACACCCCACAACAGAATTTCCCCAAATTGAATGCTGTTCCTTTCCAAACACAGTATTATGCTACTTATGCACCCATAATGGTTTTCAAATGGCATCATACTACATGTACAATTATGCAATGTGCTTCTTTGTATTCAATGCTGCTTTTGAGATTTAGTTGAACTGATGTAAGTAGTACCTCTATATGGATATATCACACACTATCCTTTTTTGATTGGCACTTCTTTTGCTATTATAAAGAACACTTCTGTGAACATTACTGGACATGGCCTGTCTCACATACTTGTGAGTTTTTTTCCAATTGTGGTAAAAAGATACATAACAAAATACCTGCCATTTCAACATTTTTTGTATGCACAATTTGGTAACATTAATTATATTCATCTTATTGTACAATCATCATTACTATCCCATTTCCAAATTTTCCATCATCCTTAACAGAAAAAAACTCAGGGACCCCTAAGCAATGACTCCCCCTCCACCTCTTCTGGCCCACCCCTGGAAACCACTCATAAACTCTGGTCTCTATTTTTATATCTGTTCCAGGTATATCATGTAAGTGGATCACACAGTATTTGTCCTTTTGTGACTTATTTTACTTGGCCTCATGCTTTGAAGATTCAACCATGGTATAACATGTATCAGGACGTTGTATCTTTACTGCTGAGTAATATTTCATTGTATAGACAGACAAGTGTGACCTTTTTCTATGAAGTGGATTGTTTGGTTGTATCTTGGGCTACACACTTTTTCACATCTACTAGATAATTCCTAAGAGGTCATACCAATTTACACCCCCACCAGCTGTGGGTGTGACTTCAGAAGGTTACTATCACCAACACATCCTGGCCAAATATTCATATGATCAAATTGTTTAAAGCATTGTCAACACTTTTTTTTTAATTGTGACTTGGGTGAAATCTTACAGAGCAGATTCACTTTCTATTCAACAGTTCATACACATTTTGTTTTGTTACACTGATTAAAATCCCCACTATGTAACAGCTCTCTTCCAATTTCTTCCTTTCGGTTACCTTTACCTATGTCCTTTTTGCCTATCCATTCCTGCCTGCCTAGCTCTCTCCCTGCACAAATCCTGCCCTTTTGATCTCTCATGGTTGACTGCTCTAAGGAGTGCCTCTCCCTGGTGTAACTGTTCAGCTCGTAGATCTGCCTAGTGTTTGGCTGAGAATTAAGCCACAGGAGTGAGTGCAATTCCTGGCCCGAAGGGTGAGTATGGGCCATAGTCTCAGGAGTCTAACCAGTCTCCAACTGACAAGTAATACTGGTTTCTTTTGTTTTAAAATTTTGTTCCACATTAAAAAAAAAAAAAAAAAAGAATTCCTGATTACTAGAAGTCTAAGCAACCTTCCATGTTTATTGGTTATAGACATTTTTCTAATCATTTCCTTTATGGTTTGTGGTTTGGTTATTTAAGAAATTCTTTTCTACCTTGCAATCATAAAGATACTCTATTATTTTTTCTAAAAGTATTCAAGTTTTACTCTCACACTTAAATCTTTAATCGACTTGGAAGGTATCTTTGAGTGTAGGATGAGAAGAGATGTAACATTATTCTTTTCCAGAAGTCACCCAACCTGTGAGCACTGGTCCATGAGTCCATGACAAACTGAGGACACCTGACTTTGTTCAAGTTCAGTGAACACTGGGGGGCGGGGTACCAGGGCAATCACCTGATGCAGAGCCCCCACTGAAAGGGGCTTACCCGTGACCACACACCAGGTCAACGTTCCCAAGACAAACAGCTCTCCTGACTTCTGAGTCAATCCGTGGCTCCTAACCAAGCACAGAGTAAGGCCAGCATCTATACTAGATCGTTCTTACTCATGAACAACACCTCAAAAGTTCCAGTAATAATTACTTCAATGTTTTCCTCACTAAGCATCTCCTAAGCCAGGTAAGAACCCCACTGGCTCCAAATAAGTGGAATCCAGTTTGCCACAAGGAAGTCCTGGTGGCACAGTGCATAAAGCCCTCAGCTTCTAACCGAAAGGTCATCAGTTCAAACCCACCAGTTGCTCCATGGGGTAA